ACTATACGAAACGATCTTGAATGGTGGTATTCGAATGTTTAACAATATCTAAAAAAACGTGCCCAATATAAATATATTTTATGGGACTTATATCGTGATAATTATCGGGATGTTAAGGCCTTAAGTTTCCGTAACAGCAAATCGACACGTTTAGTACCCTTCCCCCTGTAACTCGAATCTGGAATTCTTGGCTCGTGACAATGTGAAATAATTGGTTAGATATTTCCCTTCGTTATTTGATAATTTTAAATATCTACCGTGAAGTAAAATTTCGTCTGAGCAGTGCAACGCTTAATGATTAGCATGTTATGCTGCGGATCGAGGGTTCGAACACGCTTCTCATTTTCAGCTGAAAACATGTTATACACAGCAACATTCAACCCCTATATGTCGGCGGATGCTGCCCTATAGCTACCTTCCCTCTGGTTATTTGTTGAAAATTAGAGACGGTTATACCTTAACTACGAAGGTGATGAATAGAGGTCTCTGGCTTTGTTTTTATTCTGCATACGTATGGGGTGCCGTTCAGGTTGAAAATTCCAGTCCTGGAACTTGGTCTTGAAAACTTGGACACTGTTTCTGTATTTTTTTATTACACTGCATTACGTGTATAATCTTTAAATTCCTCTAAATTTAAATTTAGATAAAAATTAAAAAGTTTGAAAACTACCAGATTGTCTTTGTATTATTTCAAATAAAAGCCATAATTCTATGTTAACTGTAGGCTTACCATTAAGCTTTGGTAAGCTTCTTTCAGTTGTAAGTTATAATATTTTTGATTAGTTGACTGTGTTTTCTGCATATTTTGTGCTTGACTCTCGCTACAAATCTCTCATTTTATCTTTTGATATTCAACAGAAATTAATTCGCATGAATATGCCGATATTGGAAGGAGGAAAGGTGAATTTTACTACAACACTTTTTGCTTTGATTCGAGAGAATCTCAATATCATGATGAGACCAGGTAAGATATTTTCGTCGCTGAATGTTGAGTGTATATAAAATTTTGTATTTTCTTTCGATGATAATTTTGGCTGTGTTTTTTTTATCATGGTAAGGGGGGGGGGGTTCTTTATGCATTTTTCCCTTTCCTAATGTTTCGTTGAGATGAAGTTTCGAACCCTGCGCTGTGTTGTTCTTCATGTCTGATAGTCTAAGGAGCCCCATATCAGGACCGCGCTCTAACATCACACCCAAAAAGAAATAAAAAACTAGTAGGCCTATAAATCAGACACATTCCACCTCGGGAATTGAATTGAAAAAAACAAAAACTATCTCTAGAAGACCCTCAAAGGGCTTACAGTTCTAAAAGTTGGGTTTCGATGTCCGTGAGGGGCACAGCACAGATAGCTCATTGCACGGCTTTGTGCTTAACAACAAACAATCTTTATTCATCTTATTAACAAAATATTGGTGATTCAAAAATATAAAAGACTTACACTTCTAACTTATTTGTATATTTCAAAGAAAAGTTGTCATCTTAACAATTTCAGTGAAGCGGAGATGATAAGTTATAGCGTCAGTATTTACGACCTACTTACTATAATCTTGGTACGAATGTAAACATCAATCTTGTTTGTTTGTTTTTCAGCCGACGAGATGGATTTAGCAGACAGAGATCTGAGGGAGATGATCAGAAAATTATGGCCTTTTCATGTGAAGAAACTATTCAACAAGATATTGCCTGAAGGCGATGGTAGGCTTCAACAAAACCGTTTTATTTAATCCTTTCCGTACAACTTTTATGTTCTTAAGATAGAAACCGTACAAGTACGTGTATAGTGACCTAAGATATGTAAGGAATGATTTCTGCATTTTCGAAATTTTTCCCACGCACGGTTCTTGAAATTTGTATATGTTGTTAGGTTCAATGTGTCCCACCAGGCATTGTTGTTAGGTTGCATGTTTCCCAGTAGGCGTTACCCATGGTTATATATATCCCAGAAGATATTGGTGCTGGGCTACATACGTCCAAACAGTCAATGTTGCTAGGTTTCATGCGTCCTAACAAGTATTGTTACTGGGTTACATGCGTCCCAACAATGATTGTTGCTGGGTTAAATGCGTCCTAATACGTATTGTTGCTGGGTTACATGCATCCAAACAGTCATTGTTGCTGGGTTACATGCGTCCCAACAATGATTGTTGCTGGGTTAAATGCGTCCTAA